GCTGTCAGTCTGAAGCTCATTCAAACTCTTTAGAAGCTTTTATTTTGAAGGTACATCGAAACCGAAAGTGTTTGCAGTAACAGCAGAACATATAGTTCAATATATGTGAGAAAACTAGAGTAAAACAGAGTTTAATGGGGGTAATGATAGGCAGTAGGTTTTAATTCAGAGTCTGATTTCTCTTCATTACTTTGACTTCATTAAATGCTCATTAAACTGCTCACACTCACTTTCCTGCTTTAACTGCTGTTCATTATATAGATATATATTTTAGTTCATTTACCACTTTAATCTGGGAACATGAGCGCAGATCGTATCAGAACCTCTCTGATCAGTTCTACATCAAGACTGAACCCTCTCCCACACTGCCTCTGCAGGCGGCTCTCCTCACAGAGAAATGTTTCTGCTGGTTTACTAGTTCTCATAATCCTCATCAGAATCATTTTAGTCCACTAACTGGGGTTTATTTAAAGTCTAATGCATTATTTAAGCCTTACTCTTCTATCCACTGTGATCTTAAACCTACAGCAGTTATTGGTGCTGCACACAGTCCTCACTTCTTATTTTATTGTACTAACCAACTTATTATTATTACAGGTGCACTAAATGGCCTCTTGTAGTCAGACCTGCCTCAACGGAGACCTTCCCAACATTAAATCCTGTCAATCTATCAACCAAAAACACATTCACAGAGCTCGACACAGACCATACAGACGGACAGATATGAACACATGAATGTGAACTGTATGGGTGAAACAATTCCCCAGCAGGTGGTGCTGTGGAGATAGTGGAGATAACTCATTGTGTGTTGGTTCTACTCACAATATAAATATAAGACACAGGCTCATAAACAGCATAAACGCCACCTACTGTACCAGAGTGTGTACCATCATGGTTTTACATACTTCAGCTTAAATTCTATTAAATAAAAATAAAGAAATTATATACAAGTAAATAAAATATACAAGTAACAAAACAAAAAAACAATAATAATCCAACAAGCTAAATAAATAAATATATAAGCTATTTTTTATGATCTAACCCTGTATCTTTAAGGAAATTAAAGAGAGTATTACTACATTCCTTCTTTCCACTCATCCCAAGAATCCCTTCCAAACTCCACGCCCGACCTAACTCATATGTATATTATATTTATTTATATATAAATAAAGCTTTACTTACTTACTGCCTTATATATCCTATCATGTAAAATACTTCACTTGAGGAACATCACATTTTTCTGAAATACACTCTGATATCAATAAAGAGATGATTTTAATCCAGTATGTCCATCAGTAAAAATTGTCAAGTAGTTCTAATAATTCTTTCCATAATCTTGCACCAGATATCTAATACCCATTTTATTTTCAACCCATTCTCTCTACGTGAGAAAATGTGAACATTGAGCTGTTCTCATCATATTAATTAACCCTTAAGGTTGCTCACTGAGTTTGGAGTCAGAATGGGTTAAAAACGGGTGCCTGCTTAGCTCAGTCGGTAGAGCTGGCGACCCATATACAGAGTTGCTGCAGCAGCCCGGGTTCAAATCCGACCTTTATCCAATAAAGGCATGAAAAGGCCAAAAAAATAACTTTAAAAAAAACAAAACATCCAGCTGTAGGAAGAAAAAATCATATATCATTTGCATTGGGCTATGGGGTGAATAGTTCCATTCTTAAAATGATTACATACACGGTGTTGTACTTTTGCTTTTTTTTACCTGTTTTCCATGCTTATTTTTGCTCAGAATCAAATGTTTTATGGTGATTAATCTCTCTGTTTGTTAGCTTGGTTCCAGGGTTAATAGTCCGGTGTGTAACATGAAGGAGAATCTATAATATTATATTAATAAGTATGTTTTATTGGCGTATAATCACATCAAAATAAGAAGTGTTGTGTTTTTATTACCTTATAACAAGATGTTTTTTATCTACAGAGGGAGTGGGTGATTTAATTCACGACATTGTCCATTTTATAACGCAGTCCGAGTTGTTGCCAAACTTTTTTTTTAATGTGAAGGACCCCCACACCCCCACATTAATTTTGTCTCAAGGAATTAGAGATTTGAAGGTTTGAAGATAATAAGTCATAGTCAATCAATGATCAATGACCCAGCTATCCTAACCCACCCTGGGCTCTTCCCTGGAGCCTTTTCATCCCGACCAGAGGACGAACGACCCCAAACCTCACTCCTCTCCCATCCCCCTTTTTAATTTAATCTAATTCTTTCAATCATTCATCTTAACCTTGCACTCTACACATCCTCTCCTCTTAATTACTCAACCTGATCTGTAGCCTGTATTTACTTTTTCTTGTTTTGTTTTTATTTATATATATATATTCTTAATTATTAGTGTTATTTATTTTGTTGTTACCTTGTTGCCTTGTCATGTCTTATATGTCTCCCTGGCCCTTTATGTTAATCATGTAACTTGCACTATTAATAAAAAGTGACATGTGTGTCACAAACACTTTGAATGTCCTTGAATCTTTCATATACAGCTTTATGCTTGACCTTAACTCTAAAGTCCCTAAGTGACATATACAAAACATCCTGAGCCTATAGGACTCAACCTGT